ACTGTAGTTTAGGCTTTTAAGAGTCTTGCAGTATGTGGATATTATCTAATATTGATTGAGGAAGGGAGACAGAACGGTAAAACCAGTTGGTCTGCTTGAGTTTAGTCTGGGTTTCTAACCAGATGTGGTAGGGGGCAGGGAGAAGGAGAAAGTGTATTTTGCTACTTGGTTTTGTCCCAGATTAATTTTTTAAAAAATATTTCACTTGTTGCTTTTTGTTTCCTTAGATGTTATTACTAGAATGTATAGCCTGGTTATGGCCCAAGAAAGCAAATTTCAAATATAATATAAATAATATGTAATACAAAAATACACATTTTTGAGAAAATCCCTTGTCATCATCTTGACAGCAGAACTCTGTTGGCACTTCTGTGTAACATCATGCAAATTCTGTTGACTTCTGAGGTCAGTGTTTATATTGTCAATAGGTTGCAACATTTAAGAAGTAACTAACTCTGATGCTCCTGAGCGAGCAGCAGTTGTATTATGGCATGCAGGTACATTGTGTGTAAACACGCCAACTTCCTATGCTTGAGATGGACTTGGCAGCTTACCAGCCCTTTATACATTTTACTTAGTTGAGGCCTCACAGACTATATTATGTTATGCATACATATTGATGTGCAATATAATTAAAATTAACTTTTTGTTCTATTTTAGATAGCCATAGAATTATGTGTAGATTGACAAGATGTGTCAATTTGAATCTGTTAGCCAGCTTTTCAAATATATTTTTTCCTTTAACTTCGTGAAACACTGTAAATTCACACTAAATTGGGAGCCCTGTAGTGATATAACAAACAGATAAATTTGTTGAGGATAATATGTGTTATTAAAGACAGTCTGGTTTTTTGCAACTAATGAACAAGCTGGAGGAGTTGAAGAACAGAAGCCTCATGACAAGAAGCAGCACAACAACAAAGACGAATGCGGCACCTTGCACCTGCGACAAGGCGGCCGGTTTGGTGAGCAACAAGCTGAGCTGCGGGTAACCCATCCTCACGGTACTGCAGGCTGGGCTGCGTTAGCAAGTGCCTAGCCGGCACGAAGAGGGACCCGTCTACTCACTACTTGTGTGACTGCGTTCGAGCGGTGTTTAGCGTGGAGAAGAGAAGGCTGAGGAGGAATCTGCAGGGTCTTGCAACCTAAAGAGAGGGCCAGGCTCTTTTCAGACAAGCACAGCAAAAGGGGAAGAGGCAGTGTCACAGACAGCATCGAGTGAATCTCACGAGAGAAAATTCTTCATTGTGAGAGTGGTTTTAGAGCCCTGGAACTGGTTGCCCAGGGGCTGTGGAGTCTTCATCCTTCAAGACTTTCAAAATATGCTTTGGCAAGACCCTGAGCAACCTGATTGAACTTAAAAATTATCTCTGTGTCAAACAAGTGTTGGACTAGATGACTTCCAGGGTTATCTTCCAACCTTTTTTTTGTTTTGTTTTTTCTCCTGTGATTCTCTATCAAGCTGAAAGTAAGATTTAAGTTTTCTTGTAGAACATTATGCACTTCTTCATGGGAATATGTAAACTGAATGGATTTCATTCTAGATTTCATAAACTTTTCCTTCTGAGATACCTTTAAAATCCTTAATTTAATGAATTGCTTGAATGTTCAGCTTAATCTTCCTCACACTGTAGATGCTGTACAAACTTAATTTTGAACTTTTGTGTTTGTTTTTGAAAAACAATGTTAGAAATCAACCTTATAGTTGACACAGAGGGCCTTGACTGATTTGAAGGTTTGTGTAGCTGTTGATGCCTGTCTGCTAATATGGCTCTGCTGCTGCAGGTCACTGTTGTAGACAGACCAACTCTACGGCATAATCTTTCTTTTAGCTGGAAATACTTGCCATAGGTCAGCTTTGCTGTTGTAGTACCCTTTCAATTTAACTCCATGGTGTCCTGGTTTTGGCTGGAATAGAGTTAATTTTCTTCCTGGTAGCTGGTATAGTGTTGTGGTTTGGATTTAGTAAGGGAATAATGTTGATAACACACTGATGTTGCTAAGTAGCGTTTATACCAAGTCAAGGACTTTTCAGCTTCTTGTACTGCCCAGCCAGCAAGAAGGCTGGAGGGGCACAAGAAATTGGGAGGGGACACGGCCAGGGCAGCTGACCCAAACTGGCCAAAGAAATATTCCATACCATAGGACATCATGCCTGGTATATAAACTGGGGAGAAAGCTGGCCAGGGGCTGCTGCTTGGGGACTGACTGGGCACTGGCCAGCAAGTGGTGAGCAATTGCGTTGTGCATCACTTGTTTTGTATATTCAAATTATTTTATTATTATTGTTGTTACTATTATTACCATTATTTTCTTCCTTTTCTGTCCTATTATACTGTCTTTATCTCAACCCACAAGTTCTACTGGGGGCTTTTTTTCCTGATTCTCTCCCCCATCCTGCTGGGGGGAGTGAGTGAGCAGCCGCTTACTGTGGTACTTAGTAGCTGGCTGGGGTTAAACCACAACACATGGGATAATTCTGTGTTTTGACTTGGTGCTGTTGGCTGTGTAAGGACTATGGGTGCTAGTCATCAGCTGAAACCAATGTCTCACCGAAATACTTAATCTTTGTGAAAATGAGATTTTTTGGAGCTATTCTGTTTCTGCTGCATGTACTGTTGCTCCTTCTCTGTAAAAAGTATTTATTTTTTAAAAAGAGAAAAATGTATTTAAAGCCTGCTGATGCATTTCTAGTTCCGTTATGTTTTATTATGGGATCTTCTACTATGACATTGAGTAACAGTATAACAGTATAATACTTGAGAGCTTTTGTCTCCATTAAAAATAGAGCTTTTCGTGCAGAATTTAATGTTATAGAACCCAAAGCCAGCAGCAGCTCCCAGCTTTCCATGCTCATTGTTTATTCTCTTAAGATAAATCATTTGGCTTTGAGTTTGCATTAGTGACAGATTAAGCTGCCAGTGTAAACATTGTAGGATTGAGTATTTTGAAGGATGTGTGTAATTTTGTGAAGGAACTAAGCCCACAAGTATCCGGAAGCAATGTAGTGTTGCATGTGTTCAAATAATATTTTGCAATGTTCATGAGAAAAGGAAGTAAGTATTTAGAAAAGTATTGGTAAAATGGTAACAGTTTATGATTCTTACTTTTTGTTTACTGAAAATAATTCTTGACACACAGGGCTTTTACTGGAATTTACATGAAACGTTGATCCTGGAAGTAGGAGACACACATTTGTGTTACTGTATAGCCAAAAAATGCCATTATTTGTAATTGGGTAACCTTTCAATTTACTTTTGACAGTAGAATTGGACTAGAGTGAAAATTTTTTGGTTTTAAGTCTCCGAGTTTGGGGTCTATTTGTGAAATGCTAGACATCTTCAGTATTTAAAATAATAGTAAGTAGTAGTTCTCGGTTTCCTCCAACTTATGTCCATTTATTAAAAATGGAACCCATAAAATTTAAAATTTGAAATTGTGATGTTCACCGCCATTCTTTAAAATGTTTTTTTTCTTAGTCCTTTTTGTGTCAAATTATCATTCTCTTTGTTAACACTGTAGGGATGATGACACAAATTTTTAACATGGGTCCATCCTGGAGGATGCTAAACCTTCATAAAAAGCAAGGGGCCAACCACTGTTTATTAACCTAACCCAGGCTGGTTTTGTTGAACCTGCATGTACAACCCAGAGAAATAAATTCATAGTAAAATGTAGTATTTGTGGCAGCACTACTGAATGCTGGTTATTTTTTCTCTTAACTTTAATTTTTTTTTTCACATGTAGACCCTGCAGACTTTTTGCTCAGTTCAATTCTCCTATAACTTTAATTAGCAACACATTATGCACAGAAAATTTGAGGAAAGCAAATCAATAAAAAAAAAAAAAAAAGTAAAAAATCTTTCCCTAACATGAATATCTTTTGTGGCATTGAAAATGTATGCAGCTTGGCATAGATCTTGGTCTTGCTGGAGAGCTAAGTAGAAAATTCTGTTCCCTACTGCTTAGATGTTAGGTTTGTAAGATCTTTGTTTCTTCTTGTCTGTAAAGGTCTACCATGTCCTTAGTTAACACTGACATGCTTATGTAGCATGAAATACACGTTCCTTAACTGATTCAGATTTTTGAAGATACTCTGTACTAATTTATGTGCTGAAGAAATAATTCTGATACTTGGATACAGATCAAAATTTTCTTGTTATAAAGACAAAGTTGATGGAAACAAACTTTAAACAAAAATATATACCGATTATGTATTTGTATTATAGAGTTTGCCAGTAAAGTTTAACTTGGCTACATTTAATAAAAACTTAATGGGCAAATTTAATGTTACTGGATTTTTTTTGTTTAAGAAACTTGGTCAGTGTGTAATCAGGTTTTACATAAACTTGGTAGAAAATAGAATTAATCTTATACAGACATTAAAAAATTCTTCCAAAGGGTCACTTTTACATGTTTATGGATGACTTTGTAACAGGGAAAACTTAGTTGTGTTCTAACTGAAATAAAGTTTTTTGTACCGTCTGATATGAAAGGATAGTGCCAGAGGTGAAGGATGCTAAACAATGAGCTAGGTGAGTTGTCTGATACAGATGTTAAAAAGCAGATTTCAGCTTTCTCTTAATTATTGCATTAGATGTGTTTAGCTGTCATTCCAAAAGAATGATAAATTTAGCTGTGGCACAGTAATTTGGCAATGCAGCTGACAACATTTATTAAAGATTGCTGTCTTCTTTAAAGTAGCTCTGAATTAGACTGTTTAATGCAGGTGCTTTGAAACTGTGACTTACGATTTCTTTTATGCACTTAACCATTTAATCTATTAAAAAATTAGTTGTTGGTTCAGAAGTTTTAACATAATGAGTTGAAAGCCATTTCTTCTTTGTGTCCTACTGAAAAATTTCACCAGACCATTTTGTTCGTATTACTGGGAAATTTGAATTAGTTTAGAACGCGTTTTGTTTCATGTTCATTGAATTTAGATTTCAGTTTTTGTCTGAGGCTACTGCAGCATTAAAACAGCTCCTGCTTTTTCACAGGCCTATGAAGAGTACACCAGCAAACTAGATGCTCTACAGCAGAGAGAACAGCAGTTACTGGAATCCATGGGGAATGGAACGGATTTCTCTGTCTCCAGTTCAGCTTCAACAGACACAGTTGCATCATCTTCGTCCTCTAGCCTCTCTGTAGCACCTTCATCCCTTTCGGTTTATCAAAACCCTGCTGATATGTCACGGAATAACCCTAAGTCTCCACAGAAGCCTATTGTTAGAGTCTTCCTGCCCAACAAGCAAAGGACTGTGGTGAGTCAGTTTCTACTCACATACTTGTAACCTCAATATTTCCTGTATCTCTCTCCCTCTGTATGCAAAAGTTAATTTAGGAGCTGAAAAAAATACCTGTGAAGGTCAAAGAGGTCGTACGATCACTATTTGTGCTCTGCTGCACTCAGTTGTTTTGATACGTTGAATGTTTTCTACAAGATTAACACAAATACGTCCATTATAGCAATAATACAGAATACAAAACTTTGAGGAGTTGTGTAACAATGAAGATACTTCAAGAAATATTTTTCTCGAATTGCCTTTCTCAGATAAATAGTAATCTACCATTTTACAGTGGTTAGGAGGGGGTGGGAAGCTCTGGTTCTTGTATTATACAAAATTATTGATTAGTTTAACAGGGCAAGATTGGGGAAAGTAAGTATTTTCCATGTTGTCAAAGTTACTAGCAGCAGCGAATGCTTTAGAGCAAGCACGCAGTTAAGGAGGGCTGCGCAGAATCACTTAGTTTCTCTTTTTTTCTTTTCCTCCCCACTCACTGTGGTGAGTGTTTCACGTTGGGACCCTGATGCTATCAAGCCCTGTGTAGAGAACTGGCTAGGGGAGGGACATAGTTGCTCTTAGGAGGGGCAAGAAGTGTTGCCTGCAAACTGCTCAAAAACAAGTGTTTATCAGTTTTGACAATGTTACAGTGATTCCTGGAGTCATGGAAGAAGAGTTGACACTTTTTGCTGGCTATTTAATTGTCTGTTATAGGCGGAAATTTTTTATCGATTAAGAGCTGCCAACCGAAGAGCCTTGATAAGTGCTTTAGAATAATACACTGCAAACTGTGATGCATGAAATTACTGACAAGCCATAGTCTAGGCGCTGTTTTGCAGGGGAGCTGTGGTTCCAGAGAAAATGGGAAATGAATGGATAGCACAGCCAGCATCCATGTGAAACGAGTGCTTTTTGTAGCAGTCGGTCAGGTATTGGCTGTTACTGGACTGTGACTGTCTGTGGAAACTGGATTGCTGGCAAAGAGAAGAAAACCTAAACTGAGTCGGTAGTGCTGAGCATTGGGAACATGTCCTCTCCCTTCCCCTGCTGCTTTCCTTCCATCCCTCCCTCCCCCTGACCCACCAAACAAAAGAGATCATAAAACTTACAGTGGGAGCAACAGATTAAAGGGCAGTTGTTTTCACCTGATTTTTTTTTTAATTTTGCTTAATTGTTAAAGATACCACTAAAGATTGACAGTAGTATTTGGGTTTTGACCTAGAGAATGGGGGTTTAATATAAACTGTGACCACTGGGCAGATGTACAGTGTTAAGCAAGGTGATTTTGTTGTCTGCCTGTGAGGTATGGCTAGGCACGTAGTACCACCCATGCTGAAATTTGGAGAGACTCTGGTTTCTTCATGTCTTCTATCCCATCCTCTGTGGCTGTTGTAGCTGCAGCCCCTGTGATGGGGCTGTCTCACAAGTTGGTTTTGTTTCTTTCCTACAATGGGTCAAGCATATTGCTTCCTAGATTGTTCTGTGCATTTTCTTTTCTGTCTCTGCTGTGTGTTCTCCCGTTCTCTTCTCTAAGCCATGTAGTATATTTCTACTCTTACTCTTTTCTCCTTATCTGCAATATTGCTGTTCTGCTCCTTTCCCTCTCCTCTTTTTCATCTCCTTCTCAATCCTTTTATCAGAGGTGTGGTAAGGCTTGTCTCAAGTCTAAGCTCTGTTTTGATTTTGAAGGAATCATTTTATATAAAGAATAGTTCAGAATTATGAAATATACTACATCAGACTCGTAGGCAAGAATGAATTTTTTTTATGTTCAAATGTGTGTATTTCGCCAAGTTTAAGTTATTTCTGAACATGCAACTCTGATTACAAGTTAGGAAAAAGACAACTAAATTTCAGTGTGAACCAGGTGATACAATTTGGGGCCAGTACAGAACTGTCTTGCCTCATCTGAGACGTGGTTTTGTGCATGTTGCTGGTCCATTGTAACCAAAGTGGTCCCAAGTACTACAGCAGCCTTCTGGTACTTGTTTAGAACTGTTAAAAATGCAGGAAATGGCGGTGGCGGGGAGCAGGGGGGGAGATGCTTACATTTTTGACTAGCAACTGCCTTGTTACTTGAGAGTTGTCTCTGGTTTTTGTTTATTAGTAGTATTGTTTGTGTGCAGGATCAGGCAAATACATCTGAGCTGGCTCCAACTAGAAATACAATGTGAGGAAACTGATGGAGTACAAAGAAATAAGACCACGTTGATCAGTGTGATTTTGGTGCATAGGCAGCGTAGCTAATGTTAAGTTTCTTTGTAGGTGCCATGATAAAGCAGAGCGCTGGATAAAAAGTTTTTCCTAATGTTGGGAAAGGTGTGAACGTGCTTCCTTGAAAGCGTAGCCAGTGAGTGGCGAAGCCTGCTGCTGCTGATCAGTTAGCAGTTGAAGTTGGCATCTTGATTCAGCTGGCCACAGAGCAGGCTTAGAATGTAACTTTTTTTGAAAGCAAACCCGAGTTTATCCCCATAATGCAGAGATATAAATGTCTGAAATACGTATACTTTGTCTTTCCTCAGTGGCATCGTTCAACTGGCAAGTTAAATGTCCTTTGGAGAAGCATCCTGCATAGATGTGACCAGGATAAGTCTGTGTGGGTTTTTTCGTTTTGTTTTGTTCTACGCCGGACAAGGATGTTGAAATAATAAAAGTGCAAGATGGTAAAAGTCTGCCAGAGATTGTCAGTTATTTTGCAGAACAAATTGATGAGGCTTACCCAAACTGTGGGTGGGGAGAATGTAGGGAAAAATTAAGTTTAAAGCTCGTTTGGGTTAAGGATCTAAATGGCTGTGGGGCAGATAGTAACAGAACTGCTAATTAAAGGAGAGGTTTTGGATGGGAGAGGGATGCAAGAGCTCTGACCTCGAGCTGGCTGCTAGAAGTCTGAGAGATTGTTAGATGCTGAAACTTGGTTTTGGTGAAAGGGAGATAGTCTTGAATGGGAAGTGGATGGTAGTGTGGCAGCATAAAAGCAGAGGTTACATTTACCGATGAGATTTCTGAGAGAATGCATAGAGCCAGAAGAGAATACAACCTTGTGGGATCCTTAGATAATTGTGTTGTGGATTAGGATTTTTTTCTTTTCCAAATTACATGATTATATGATTGAAGGTGCAAGCAGAGAGAGAAAAGAAACAGAAGACACTCATACAAATGAATGGAAGGAGACACACAGCTGGTTGTTGGGGAGGGGTAGTAATCCAAGGAGAATGAGGATTAACAACTGATCCAGAGGTATGGGAAGAAGTCATTAAAGATCTCAATAGGGTAACTTCAGTTTAATGTAAGAGGCAGAAGACAGTGAAAAAGTTTAAAATGAACTGAAGAGGAGGAGTTCCAGGCAATGAGCATAAACAGCTTTCTATGAGTGTAAAGATTACAGGAATATGGTATTTGCATATAGGACAAGATTTAAGCATTTTTGGGAATTGCTTCTAGTTGTGTGATTATTTTATTATCATTATTATTACTATTATTATTTATTTTTCTTTGAGAGTTTGGGGGGGGGTATTGTTTTTTGAGCACCTGGGTAAAGTATCTTTTGCATGTCTTTGGGACTGCCAATTTTAAACTGCTAGGCTTGGGATAAGGAAAAAATCCCCATTCTGAGTTGCAAGGACTGTTGCAATTTTTGCCTTCCTCCATAAAAGTTGACAACACAGTTAAAATTATTTATGAATTTCACCTATTAGGTTGCTTGGTTACCATAAACCTTAAAACATTAGTAAGACTTTTTAGACAGGTTTTCTGTGGCACATCAGTTGTGGCTGGTCCCTTGCAGGAAAGTGTTCAGAGACCTTGGGTGGAATAAATATTTTGTGGATGTATCTGGAGTGTATCTCTGTCGCAGTGAAAGAGTACAAGAATGAGGCAGGCATGTGTGATATTTTCCCTGAGTTGTCTTCCAAATTTGTGCTATTTGTCACTCAGGAATTTTATGAGTTTAAGTGTTTTCTATGTGGTAACCCTCCATCCAGTCTCTATTAAACCCACACTATGGATACTAGAAGTTTGTGTCTTGTGGTAAGGAATTCCATGGGCATGATTGTTTGTGGTGTGAGTAATCATATTCCATGTTGGTCTTTAAATCTGCTACATGCTAGCTCTCTATACTTTATATTGGAGTAAATAAAGGCTTCTGACAAAAGGCATTTAATACAAGGCCTGGTACAACAACAAATGGCTAAAACTAGTCATAACTTAGGAAAAATATTAGGAAGTTTCTGATGTTGTAGTGAAGTCTGGTAGGAAAGAAGAGAATGGAGTGGAGGGGCTTCTAACTCAAGTACTTTTATGAACAAGATCATATAACTTGCTTATATTTGCAGCCCTGAATGATTTTGATTACCCAAGAAATCTCTTCCAGCCAAGTACTTACAGTGTGGAAAGAAACAGTCTGAAAGCAAATGAGCAGCCCTGAATGCTGGTATGCTTGAACATGGAAAGTCAGAAAAAACTGGTGTTTAGGTGTTAGAAATGATGGGCGGTTGAAAGCCGTCAGGTGGTGACGGTTCTTGCTCTTAATCTGTATGTAACCTGTTGCTGTCTGCCACACACTGCTAGCTTCCAGAGGAGATGTTTGCTTCGTGTCCTCTGACCATCTTGTTGGAGTGGCTGTAAGGGTGGTAAGGAGTCTCTGCTGCCCTGGTCAATGAGTTTATAGGGATCCTTTCTCACAGCTCCAGCATGTGTTCTCTTTCTGTGAGCATGAACAAGGAGTGGATTGGGTAGTTTTGAATTTCATTTCCATCCATAGTGGTCTGAGTAGTGACAGTGGAAATAGGAGAAAAGGGAAAAAAAAAAAAAGAGGAGCAGATGCTGTTCCTGCTTTGGGAAAGCTTAGCAGCCTCCAAGTACTTCAGCTGTCTGCAGATTCTGGGTGGGATCAAATCATTGTGTGTTTTCACCCACCGTGAGGGCTAAAAGCTTCCTATGGCAGCTTCTAAACCAAAAGTAATACTTTGGTAAAAAAAAAA